CTTCAGCTGGGGAGAGCGAAGCCTAAGAGACAGCTCCTGCTGCTGCCACCATAAGGGAGACACATGTAAACATATTTCTACATTACAGAGGAGACACACACACTCACACACACACACACACACACACACACACACACACACACACACACACACACACACACACACACACCAGTGTATTGAGGCTCCCGTCTAGTAACACTGTCCATGTCCCTCCTCCCCAGTCACCTGTATCTCTAAAAGGATGTAAGGGTAAAGATGACCAGGAGCAGAGTTCAGTCATGCCTGCAGGACACAATTATTTTTTCTATTTCCACTCAGAGGTTGGGGGTACAGCCCTGCTCTCACTTCTCCTGTAGGGAAACCCTGTTCATAATCCCGCATGTCCACAGGATCCAGCTTGTGTGCTCACGGCTCCGTGGCTGCTTCCCAGCACGCTGGAGGCATTTAGTTTTCCAGCAGATGAAAACACTCATTTAGATCAATTGTGGCTGTACTTGAATTTAATGACCCTCTGTGCCTCTTTACTTCACTCGCCCACCAGTATAGCCCATCTCAGATTTATCTTCACTATATTTAGAATAAAGGGATGAATTTTTTGTTTTTTAGCACACATGAGCACCTATAATCTTATTTTAGATAAGAAATAAAGGAATCATAAATACCGTGTAAATAAGGACAACTTTAACAGCATTAACCATGAAAGCTTAAATACTGATGGGGGAACTGCAGTGTGAAAGGTTTTACCCTCCAGCAGTTCCTGATTAGAGGAGCATTCTTCAGATTTGAAGGAAATATGCAGCAGCTTTAAAGCTTGCAGTCAGTGTTTTGTATGGTTGGCTAACGTTTTAACGTTTGGAGCCCTTTTTAGTTCCCACACACTTTGACTGTCTACGTTATAACACCTTGTACTGAGCATAGAACACGAAGCAGTTCTTGCAGGTATTCATCCATCCTCAGCAGCGATGGAGCCGTGACACCACGCTGCCTCTCGCTCTGGACATCGCAGGCTAATCTTCCTCAGGCAGCTGGATTTGCAGAAAGCCTCTGTAACTATGGTGACCTGTATTGTTGAGAAAGGCCCACACTGACAGCTCTCCCTCCTTCTGTGTATATAAACCCTCTGCCACTCCTCCCCGTTTAAATTCACTCATGTTTTCTGTGCACTTTTCTCCTGACTGCTTCTGTTCTTTTTGCTTGTATTGCCTACCAGTCTGATTTGGGGGTGTCCCATGAGATGGATCACTAAATTAGCCTGCTGACTTAATAATGCTATTAAAACACAATGTAGGTGTGCGGTTCGTGTGGTAGTGAACAAAGAAAACCGTAATCTCTTAGCTCTGTATGTGTACTAGCAGTCAGATAGTCTCTTTGGCCTTTGACCTGTATAGGAAGGCTGTTTGGCTAACTCTGATCCTGCATCGTGACATGTCCCCACTTCATAATACTGTGTCCAGTGTGCCTGATGTTCTCATCTCCTGCAGCAGTGGGCAACGTTTGGCTGCTCTAAGCATTCAATAAGTCATCCAGGAAGGAGAGAACATCGGCCACATTTACATGTCGGAGCACAACCTTCTTTTACCCTCTCCCTCATTAAGTTATTTTGTGGGAGGAGCCTGATCCAACCCACTTTTTTTTTTTTATTGGACTAAAAAAATTTTTTGTTACTGTTGACATTTTCATGTCTGTTAATAAAAACAAAAAGACTATTATTCAGACGTGTGTGGTCGTGTGGTTAATCAGTGAGTCAGACATGGGAAATACTGTTTAATAAAAAATAACAGCCACGATAAAGGAAGAGAAATGTACAACTCTCAGAAAAGGGAAAAGCTAGAATATTAATACTGACAGTGAACACCCATTTAATACATTTCCATTCAAACTAAAACAGCACCTTATTTATAAAAGTCCTCAGATTAACCTGAAAGTTGATCTTTAAGGAGACCTGCTCTGCTTTCCTCATTTCCTGACGCACTGTTCTGATCATCGAGCTCATTAAACAAAGCAAACATTAACATAATGAGTTCAGGGTATGTACACGTTGGCCATTTCTACTGTTTGCTCTAATAAAGCCCCCTCAGGCTGCAAGCGCAGAAGCCCCACCCACCTGTAAACGCTTAACGAAGGGCAGCCAATCGTAATAAAGTTGGCTTAAAGGAAGCTAAAAGTGGCTTCAGACGGGATGAACTGAAGATCAGCGCTAATAAGAACGGTTCACTGGGAATAGTGCAATGTGACTGTTGTAACCGTTCCGAGATCAAATCTGAAAATGAGAAGAACAGGTCCGCTTAAAAGTCATTCCTGATTCATAAGGTCACTCCATATTTTTGTCCCATTTGTGTCCTATTATAAAGTAACTTCCCTTTATAAAATCCCAGAACAAACAATAGTTTAATCAGGAATTGGCATGGAAGCTCTCCCTCATCCTGAAATCTCAAATCTCCCTTCGAAAAATTAGTTTCCAGGGTCTTTTTTTTAAAAACATTTTGATACTATTCACACAACATGGCACCTGTTAGAAATTCATGTTTGTGGCATTTAACTCACATTTCTTGTATTTGTGCATCACAGACTGCAAACGACATCGATCGCTTCTATTTCAAAGCGCAGCTTTAGAAATGTTTTATATAAATGAGACAAATACACTTATCTAATATACTTATACACACACATGCACAACAGCAGAAAAAGAGCCCTCCATCCATTTAGGATGTGTGTAACACTGAATGTCTGGAAAGCAGCAGGAATATTAGCAGTACCTTTAAAATGAAGGAGGAAAAATAATACTTTTAAACACGATGAGCTGTATGATCGACTTCCAGAGTAATAGCTGAAAAAGCTGTAACATCTCAGAGAAATAGGCTTTTCTATACAAATATACTGTTTCAGGCACCTCGCTTTCATCATGTACTGGGGAGGTATATAGGTTAACTACATATCCGTACGGTGGCTCAAGTAGTTCAGTGACTTTTCTCTTTTTGTGTGGTTATCTGGTGAAACTACAAAACAATTGTGAAACATCATATGTGACAATAGAAACAAAACTTCAGTGGAGAGCTAAATATCAGATAAATGTATTCCAAAACATGTAAACTGTGTGATGATCTCATCATCAGAACTTTGATGTAATGAGCTGTGGGTGTAGCTCTGACTCAGACCATGTGCTCACCGACTGTATGAGTCGTCCTCTCTGACACTTGGAGTGACCAAACTTTACAAAGCGGAGCGTTTTCATCAGTATGATCCAAAATACGTCACTGAACTGGTGTTTATAGAGGTCCAAGCAGGGGGCTGTTTCCTCATAGACTTGTATAGGACCTGCAACCTTTGGTATCACCCCCTGGTGGCCATTAGAAAGAGTGCGGGTTTAAGGCACTTGTGTGTCTGCTTCACTTTTCAGACAAAGAAGCCACGCCCACCATTTATACCTGGTATGTTTTCAGCACAGAGCCTTCATCACAGCGTAAGAGCTACACACTGAAGTGGTGCTCCAGTTGCCCTGTGTCACGCACACCAACATCCCTCACTCTCCTCACGTCACACACCTGACAGACACTTCCAGTTCACCTTTAAACTCCAAATGCTCCCATCTCCTCCTTTCACACGTCAGAGCTGCTGCCCTGCATCGCCACGTTTTAGCGCAACACCTCCACCACCCCGGCATCTTCCTCGAGGCTCCAGGAGTCTTCCTCGTCGATTTTTATGAGCAGCACATTAGCAAAGAGAGAAAAGAACTCCGAGTCCAGACGCTGAACTTCTGCTGCTTTTCTGACTGAAAGTCAGTTATACACACACGCCAGCAGAAAGCGCACACAGCTGGGGCTTTAAACCAGTTATGAAAGAACAAGTCAAATTTTTACTGATCGAGCTCCATCGTGTACGATATTAAACCTAATAGAGCCACTGACACCACACAGTGATCACACAGGACGATGGCAGCCGCACCGAGCAGCTACATCCACTCACTTCAAGCTGAGGTCACCGGTCATATGTCAAAGTCTGGAATGTGCTACTTTCTTTTTCCTTTCACAGTTTCTGGAATACATTTATTACTGACAACTGATTACTTGACTGAAGGATGTTGTCTCACTGATATATAAATCTAAAGCTGACATTCATGAACTTTCTCAGGAAACATGGATTTTAGAGGGCTGAAGTAAGAACAAGTAGGCCCTTTTAACCCAAACTGCCTGTGACTTTTTCCTATTATGTTTAGTTATAGTTCCACATCACTTTTTATACTCTTTCTAAATTACTTTAAACTAAACTAGATTTCTTCCTGCTTCAGTATGTTTCTGAGCTGTGAAGGAGCATAACTCCAGACTGTAAGCAGAAAGCAGAGCCCCGCTCCTTCAAGTTCTCACAATAACATTAACATATTTCCTGTGCTTTATAATACTGGGAGCACCTGTTATTAGGCGTGCATCACTCTGCACATCTAAGTCCAACCGTTTTCTCGTTATGGCTTCGTTAACAACATTTTCAAAGTGCAGAGCTCCTCTACATTAAAGTCTCTGTCAGATGGTGAATAGTCTGAACCTTCCACAGTTCATATCTCTTTGCTTGGGTACTTCCACCTGCTTACATACAGGTGACCTCAGCTTTCCCCTCGTCCTGCTCAAAGCCACCTTCCTCCATGTGGGATAGGGAGCTGGGGTACCCTCCTCCGAACACTGGGAATCCCCCGATGCCTCCCGCAGGCAGAGCAAGGGTGTCTGGAGGGTCGGGGCTGCTGGCTGCCCGACTCACAGAGTGACTGGACACAGACTGGAGACAGAGAGGGACACAAGTCAGAACCCATAACAGACCATGAAATGACACAGATGGACTACGATTTAAAATAAAAATCTAAAGACAGATTTTCTCTGCAGACTGGCGACTGGAATAAATAAAGCAGCTTCATGAAAACTACACCTGGAATAGTTTCCAGGTAACTGCTGTTTTGTTTTTCTGCCCTCCTACGAGTTTGCAGCCGTCACCTGCAGTGAACTCCGAGTAGTACCAACTTTCTCCACCAGGGGGGACTTTAGCCACACAGAGGATATTCCTGCTTATCCAACAGAGCCATTTTTCATTCATCTTCATCGGGATGATGCTGGTAATACAGGTCAGCTCTTTACTTCCACTAAACACTGCTGCTGTTCTCCAGTCACAACATTAAATAAAAGCAATGTATACTTTCTAAAGAAAACTAGCATGTTTAGAAGTGCTTTCTTGAAAATCCCAAAGAAAGAAAACTCTTCAGCTTAATGTGAGGAAGCTACGCTGAGAGGAGGAATTATGAAATGTTGGCATGGGTAAGGAAATTAAAGGGAAATTTGCATCCCTGCTGGCGTCTGAATTTACAACCTCCTCACACACACTGTAAACCAAACTACTTTGGGAAAGCAGGAGCACAACACTGACATCGCTGAGTGCAGTGATGTCTATTCTAGCTCTGTTTCGGGTCTCCACCTGCACCTGAGAGACTTATTCTGCTCTGAAGTTGCTTAACATCCCAACGTGTTCACCAGCTCGCCTCTTTCACTGCTGCACAAGGCTTTTGTAGGTCTATCCAACAGAGAACGCTGATGCCAGATGCAGATTAAAGACCATTTAAACATTTGCTTAACGTTCAGCTGCCTCATCATGTTTCTTGGCCACAGCGAATGTGGAAAAGGTCTCACCTGGTTCCTCGGCTGTCCGGCTGTCTCACCTCTGACCGGCCTCTGGAGGAATACAACATGCTTTGTGGCCAGATTCCCGTCACTGCACACATCAACGGGAGCATGGTCAGAAATGCAACTGAAAAACATGTTTCAGGAGAGAAAACATCTTCAAAGCATCTTCTTCTACCTGTCGTGCCGGATGATGGGTGTGGGCAGCACGCACGTGAGCAGCCAGCCAAACTCAGCCAGAGTGTGGAGGAGTGGCCCGTAATCTGTTTTCACATTGGAGTCCTGCAGGAGAGCAACGTGTCCAGATATAACAGAAGGGCTCAGAAAAAGCAACCTCTCTGGCTAAGAGCCAGCCGTGAGTCTCAGTAAACACCACTTCTGGCTTGATTCCATGTTAACATTTGATTATTTTAGAGCCGGTCATTAAGGGGAGCCTTTGAGAGCCGGTTGCTCCAAAGCACACCTGCTTTAGGGGGCCAGGATCTGGTCTCTCAGGAGTTCCTTGGAAATGCGATTTAGTTATGATGATTGGTCTATACTGAGGAATGAAAAGCTGGCAATGATATTGTTTAGAAATGCTGTGGGGGTTTTCTCTTTCCATGGAGACACTGATAAAGTGGACAGCTGAGCCCAGAGAGCTGTGAAAGAACGACTGGATTGTGCTTAGTAAACAAAGAGTGTTTGGGAGTATTTTAGAGCCAACAAACATGGAAGAAGCTGCGCAATTCTTTGCCTCTAGTCACATCCTAAGTGTATAACACTTCACACTGGACCTCAGCTCTGCTCTAAGGTGTCATGTCAGGGTCCTCAACCAATAAGCACAGCAAAGGTCTCAAACTTGTGGCTCCTGAAACTATTTTATTTAACCAGTTACTAACCTATGGAATAAAAATGAAATCAGTGGAAGAAACTACAGAATTTAACAAAAGTTGATTTCAGTTTCCAGACCGGATTTGCTGTGATGCTTTTTCTTCACTTTCATGCCTAAATATGTTTTGTGGCTCTGTGCTTTGCTCGTAACCGATCCCTGGTGTAACTACACGGTGAGTTGTGCATTAATGGCATTATAAGTTTACCAAACGAATATTTGTAAAGCCAGACAGCAAAAGTAACAACGTGGAATTATCGAGTCAGCCAATCCATCACTACAATGATTTCTATTGATTAGATAAATACTGTCATATGGTGTATAATGTGAGGAGGTATGAAGGTATAAAAAAAAATAAGATGCCTCACCAGCCGACCAGCTTCAAACTCTTCAAACCGTCTATTTGACTTTCTAATTCTGTCCCAGGTGCTCACAATGTTAACCACACGTACACATACGGGTCATTTTTTATCTCAAACTGTGTTAAAAGCTACTAATGTTCAAAAAGAACTTTTTTTTGTCTTGTTTAAGCCTCACAGTTTAACCTAAGCTTGCTCTTAAAGAGTGGATAAAACATCTCTGTTCCACAAACATCTCTCCAAAAATCTCACTGACCTCGATGACGGTCCACTGCTCGACAACAATTGTGTCATTGGCAGGAGGAGACGTGCTTCTCTCCTCGTACACGAACAATCCCTCCAGCGATCGAGGCACCGGCTCGCCTGAAACACACAAACAGTGGCAGTGACACAAACGTCTGTTTGGAAGACACACGGTCACGTTTTTGTGGTGAAAACAGAAAAATTCATCTTCATATTTTTGCGTGGCATGGTTCTTATTGATAAAGTCACAGTTGTGGAACTCAAACTGCTCAGAGGGCACTGGATGACATTACGCAAGTCAGCTTTGTGAATCAAGTGGTCTAACTGTGCAGTTTCACAGCTAAAAAGAGCAAACAACTAAATGCTGCTATGAAAACGTACAGAACAACAATCAAACATTTACCAGATTCTTGACCTTGTCTGGCAGCACATACATGATTCACACCGCTGCAGCTAGCCAAGTTTCAGCTGCTGGGGAAATGAGAGCGTCGCTGGGTTGATAATGACCCAGTTATTAGAAATAGGTTGAGAGTTCCCACGTGTTCATGTGTGAGAGGACAGCAGCGCGGAGGGTTCGTGTTGTAGTCCGTCTGTACAAACCTCTCCATCACCCTGTACCATCAGCGAGCTGCCTAATGCTCCCCAATTCATTAGGAAGAAGGATAACAAACCCAAGTTATCTGATTCTATGCACGCAGTAAAACGACTTAAAATAAATTCATAAAAGACTAGAAAGTATGACTCGAGTTTGCACAAAATAAACTGTGGCCAAAATGAAACACATGAAAAACATATGCGATCCATTTCTATCTCATAAAAAACCAAAAACCAAAGACTGACATAAACACAAAAAAGTCACTTCCTGTTTTGGCTCCTTTCTCCCACTGCATCTATATTTGGAGCAGTCTTCCCGACTTTGGCGACCTCGCTTCCTGTTCATCTGCAGAGCACAGCTCTGCAGCTTCACTTGGACTTATTCAAGGTTATTGGGAGGCTCGTTGTTCCAGCGTTTTGGACAACAGGGGGTAGAGCAGGTCATCTACTGATCGGAGGGTTGGTGGTTCGATCCTGTGCTCTTCCTAGTCTGCATAACCCCAAGTTGCTCTCCGATGCATCCATCGGAGTATGAATGTGTGTGAATGTGGTTAGTAAGCACTTAAAAGCATAGAAGAATGGATGCCTGTGGCATGTTGTACAGAGAGCTTTGAGTACTCTGGGAGAGCAGAAAAGCTCTATACAAGAATCAGTCCACTTACAACGTGACACAGGTGGCTTCAGATCAGTGTGACACATTTCAAACTTGTTTTAGTCTTTTTAACATTTTTTTGACAACTCTGGTTTCATTTGTGGATTTCAAGCTGACGTCAGACTAGTTAAACATTTGGAACAGGTTCTGACTTTGGGCCCATTTTACAGTGTTGTTGGGCTGGACTTTAGAATCACAATCGTGTTTATTGGCCATGCAAACGCGCAGACACATACAAGTTACGTTAGATGGTGACTCTCAATAAGTACACAACACACACGTGTGTATTGTGTATACATACACAAAGCTGTGTAAAGTTTAAGATTGGGTCTGAACTTGGTTTTGGACCATCTTATAACTTGTATTGGGCTGTGATGTTAAACAAATTGCTACACTTGTTTTGGACAAGGATGTGGAATGTTTTTATACCTAATCTTTGACTTGGTTTAGACTTGGATTGGCTTCTGGCTGTGGCTCTGGTTTGGGGCATAGTAGAATGGTTTGAAACTTGGTTTTGAACCTGACTTTTGGCTTGTTTCAAACTTGGCTTTGGTCTGGATGAGATTTTGCAATGACTTTGAAAGTTGGTGTTGGTTCTGAATCTGAATGGGTTTTAGACCATTTTCAAACTGTTTGAACAATACCTGTTGTCACCGGACAGCTGAGGTTTCTTCAGTCTTTTAGTTTTGGAATCATGACTAATGTTTTTAAGTGCTCAAGCCTGCAGAGGACAAACATACATGCACCGCTCCGTGCTTGTTTAACATCCACCATCAGACCAACCTTTGGGTGTGTCCCAGTAAACAAAGGAGTCTACCAGAGACCAGCCTTTGCGATAGTAGGCGGCAGTCAGCTCCAACCAATCAGCCTCCAGAGCACTGACCACGTGGCCTTTCCTGGAAACACGCATGGAGAGTGCCCCCTGGTGGTACTGACAGCCCAGAGAGTCCAGAGGAGCACAGCCAGGAGCCCATGAGTGGAAGAAGACCAGCAACCTCAAATCTGGAAGGAGAAGGAGCAAAAGTATGACTCATTTTACCATTTTTCTTAAAAAAATAACATAAAATACAAGGTTCAAGGGTGAAATCTTCTCGACCATTTGACAGTCTAACACATAACACCATTATTGTCACCATGGATGTGAACCTGAGGTCACACAACCAGTCAGAAAGTCCCCACATGAATATCTTGTCTTACCGGGACTGTAGGTGTTGTCATCCAGCTCTCTGTCTCCAGGCAGTGTTTCAGGAGGTGTACGTGGAGGCGAGCGACAGGCCCTCTTTGGACTGTGCACCCGGCCATTGGTGATCCCACTCACCTGCTGGAGGACGGAGCCAATGAATCGAACCCCTCCCCGTGCACTGCTGTTCACCTACAGCAAAGATAAATACAGATTAAGAAGTTTAGATGAGGTGAATGTATTTTCCAACATTGCTTTCAAACATTTTTCAGCCATTAAAAGTATTTATTTATTGCTTTTATCATACATTGACCACTCATTTATCTTGAATCCATTGAGGATGTCTTGATCGTAACATATATACTAAAAATCCCTTCTTTGATACTTTGATCTGACTAATGCACCGGTAAAGATGGCTGACCCTATCGATGAGTGCTCTGACAGTGTCAGCCGTCAGCGAGTCTCCAGGTAAAGGCCACTCCTCCACCCTCAGCACCGGCACGCTGTGATACATGGATGCTGTCTGCTTACTGAAATCACATAACAAAGATAAGTGTTAGACCCCAGGGAGACTTGTTCAGCAGAGTCCAGCTGTCACAGAGCTGCAGACACAAACAAATAAATCATTTACATGCGCAGCAGGCTGCTGCTACTGTAGTGATAAGAGTACGCACAGACCGTTGTAGCACCGTTTCAACATGAAGGTAAACGTTTCACTTTGTTCTCATCAGTATGAGGAGACAGCGACTCGATACGAGCATAACACCACAGTCTGCAGGAAAAAATCCCCTCACACAACTAACAGAAAAAAACAACACAACGCTCCACAAACCTATGTATTTTTCGGACCATAAGGCACATTAAGTGAAACAAAGCAGTCAGATAAGTCAAACTTTACTCAACTCATTCTTCTTGCTTCCTCCACTTCTGTACCATTGATTCATTAATGTTGAATTCTCTCCAGCTGCTCTATTCCCATGTTGTTGCAGTATATTAATGACTAACCTCGTATTGTGGATGGATTATCTCAGTTGTTCTCGAGTGGAAAAAAGTTAGCGTTCATCCTCCAGCTTCACTGTGCTAATGTTATGCTAACATAGCTTTGTCGCTACGATCACGTAGCACATCCTTATATACCAGCTAGCCCAACTTCAGTAACGGACTAAAACATTTTTGACAGATTTTTGAGCGTCGTGTACCACATAAAATCGGTTCGAGATCAGTAAGCACAACCAGAATTCATACATAAGGTGCACCGGATTATAAGGCACACTGTCAATTTTTGACAAAATTAAAGGATTTTAAGTGTGTCTTATAGTGCGGAAAACACGGCAATACAGTGGTCCCTCGCTATAACGTGGTTCACCTTTTGCGGCCTCACTGATTCGCAGATTTTTTTGGTGCAATTTTGCATGTTTTTTTTTGTTTTTTTTTGTTTTACAGCACATTGTGTTCTGTGTCCCGATCAGCTGTAGACCATTGTCAATTAACCTCGTGCTGTGTCTCCTGTACAGTACAGAATGCGTTCAGCTTGTCAAATTTACATAAATCTTAGATCGCTACAGTGTGACTCTGAAGTGCTGCACTTTTTAAGTTTTCTCAAACAAACACAACAATGTCGATGAAGCGTTTTGCACCGTCAAAGGCTCCTGCGGTAGCACCTAAAAGGCAGAAGAAGATGCTAACCATTGCACAAAAACTGGGACTTCTGGACATGCTAAAGGAAGGTAGAAGTTACCATTCTTCTTGCTTCCTCCACTTCCATACCATTGATTCATTAATGTTGAATTCTCTGGCAGCTGCTCTATTCCCATGTTGTGGACCTGAAAACAGGGTTTGATCTTTGGTTTCATTCTATAATACTGGACTTATTTTTCTACGAAGGTTTGAACTTTGAGAGTGTTTAAACAAGAGAGAAAAGTGTGAAAATGTTCGTGCCTCGTATTGGTTGATTTGTGCAACTTTACAGTCATGTTGCTAATAATCATGTTTAGTTCCTCTGTGGTTGATTTTAGTCTCCTGGTATTTAGTCTGTTCGTGGTTGTTTTGTGTTGCTGGTAATCATTTTTAGACTCTTCTGGTTAGTTTGGCTTCCTTGGTGGCTGTTTTATGTTTCTCGGTTTCATGTTTAGTTTCTTTGTAGTTTTTTTCCGAATGGTAGTCGTGTTTAGTCTTGGAGGTTTCATTTCTCTTTGTAGTCAAGTCATGTTTATTCTGTTTGCGGTTGTTTCAGCTGTGTATGGTGATTCTGGGTCCCTTTGCGACTGTTGTGTGGGTATTGTGGTTTTGACCTTCCTGGCAGTGGGTTTTATATCTCTTTGTGGTGGTTTTGTCGCCCCCTTGGGTCCCTCAGCAGAGCCCAGTAGGCTTGAGAGATCAGACATACTCCATCCTCATTGGCTGCTAAGAGATCCCTGTTGTCAGGTGAATTTTAGCCAACAGAAACTGAACAGTAGTCAAACCAAAACACCGTCTCCTCTCTCTGCTAGCACGCAAGTCAGACCTCCTATCAGCAATCTGCATTAAATATGCAGCTGACTTCATTTATCTTTCATATACCTACTAGACAACATCATGGCAAAAGCTTTCTTTGACCATGACTTACAAGAAAAAAAAATCAATAATAGGCCAGTTTTAAGATAAATTTGATGACGTTGGACTAGGACTGGCGTACCTGGGTCTAGGACGGGCCAGGATGGCGCGGTAGAGCAGGCTGAAGGGAAGCGAGCGAGTCCGACCCACAGACAGGATGATGGGGTGAAGTGCAGCCAGGAGGTAGCCTTGGGTGTAGTATGGCTGTAGGGCCTGAGGCAACTCAGACAGCGAGGACACATACTGGACTGTCGGACGGCTACCTGCACACACAGACATCATCTGCTCAGTTTTCAAACCTGCGCTCAGAGTTGAATGACACATCTGAAGACTTTGACACACAAACCATTTATTGATTATTCATAAATCAATCCAACTTTTATGATGTCTGAAAATGACATGTGACCACCATCAATCACCTTCCATGATCTACCATCAAATAAACACCTTTCCCCTTACGACTCTAAAGCCTTAAGGGGAAGAGATCCTTTCCAAACTAAGCCTGTCTTCTGTTTTCATTTTATCCATTTGTGAGCCATCAGAGGTGTGAAGTGAGCAGAGAGAGCTGGAGCGTTTGTGAATGGCGGAGTCTTGTGCCATTTTTCCTAAAGTCCTGGCTGGAAATCCATGCGGCTATCACCATACTTCCTGTGTCCACAAAGAGCAACTGTTCAGAGGGGTTTGGCTACACGCCGTTTGTGCGCACACACACACACACACACACACACACACACACACACACACACACACACACACACA